TCTGTCTAAACGATGACTTTATAGCTCACTATTCTTAAATATCACCATACTCTGCATACAGGTATGTTACAAAATTCATCGGAAAAGCTTGTATTTCATTTTTAAAAGAAAAATCTCGATGTTAACTCGTTATCGCTTCGTCACTAATGCACATGGATCAAAACTGTGGTTGGAATATGTATTCACATGCCTTTATGGTGGGCTGGCGAATTGATTCTGAACCACATATTAAATATCGAATTGAACTTAATTCTAATTTTTCGGTACGTTTCGTATCATATTTTTTTACACATAAATCTAATCCAAAATTAGGTGAACCAGTAACATTTGCTTTTATTTTGGATGCTACTTCAAGCCAAAGTAATGGATTACCTATGAGGGAATGAATAATGTTATGCAGCTGGATTCGTAGATTTCCTTATTTCTAAATAAGTGATCAGAGAATAATAAATCCAAAGGAGGGGACAACGAGTTTCGATCCATGATCTAACAGAAAAAGCTTATCAGTTTAGGTCGGAGATTAAGATATAACTATTTTGGATATGTTTATGTTACAGAAAATGATCTCTAGCAGCATAAAAAATACAGATTTTCAAGGTTTTTAGATCATGTTCTGTAATTGGTTGAATTCTATGCTTTAGTAATGAGATTCAAGGATTCAAAATAAAAACTAAATCAAAAATATGAAATCATATATTTTCTAATAACATTATTATCAAAGTTTAAATCACAAAAGTAATAAAAAAATTTTAATGTAATTAACTTTACATGAAACTAAATCCGCTAAGATGTTTTGCGGGTAAGCAAAAACCTGCAGTCTTATTCCATAGAAAACTAGTTAAGATTTTCTTAGTAATTAAACTCACTCTACTCCAAATATTTTATGTTATCAACTAGATCTGATCGTCTAAGAAACAAAATCCGAGAGAGACCAATATGAAAACAAAAAAAGATCGAATAAGCATCAATGTATGACAGATAAGCGAAGCATTTCAGTATTCAAGTGTATTATGATGAGTTGTATTATTATTTTTTCTGCAATTCTACTGAAGCAGGAATTGGCCCAAAACGTCCACTACTACTTAGGTTTCGAACGAAAAGTCGTAGAAATCTCGGGTTTTCAGTTTCTTAAAAAGAACACCGGGAGACGCCGCACTATGTTAAAATAAAGTTCTTCCTAAACGTCTACCATGGTGTATTTTTTGAGTGAAAATCTAACAGATCTCTGTGCCCTGAAAAAAAGATGAATTTTGACTT